TTTAATATTATTCTATAATACAATAGCTATTCATAATATAAAGTATTCAAAATATATATTAAAAATATTATGAATGGCTAAGAAAACAATAATCTTACTTGTAAATAGCAAGAACTAATGAATGAGCCTGCCATCGCACATTTGTGGCATTGGTCTCCAATAAGAAGGTGCGAATAAAGCATCCTAAAAGCTCATGGGATACATGACGGTTAATCTGCGCCACCAAAGTAGCACATTGAGCTTCCTCAAACTTTGCTTCAGTATCCGAATCATCAGACTTTTCCCGTTCTTTCCGTGAAGGGACAGCCGATGTGTTCCCAGAGGTTGGTGCAGCACTGGTACCAGTATTGCTCGTTGAGGCAGCCGGTGCAGTTGTACTAGAGTTCTGTAATTTTATTCATAATTATTTTTTGAACAAAAATCTCCAGATATCAGAGTTATGAACAGAGAGTGCCTACATGAAAATATAACTGGAACAATTTTTTTTTTTGTATAAAATTCATTTGAAAGAAAAATGAATGGTGATTCAAAATGGGGCAGACTTTCTCCCACTAGTTAAGAAAACTAACTAGTTTCTCCAACTAGTTCGTTTCTTTATCTTTTTAGTCTGGGCTAACTTTTCAGTTTTGTACAACACTCATCGCAATTACGATCTATGGACTCCTTAAATACATTTTTTTACACTTTCCTAATATTTCTAGCGGTACATTTTTCTAATATATCTAGCGGTAGAGTGAAAACATGACTATAATAATATTATAGAAGGGCAAAATCTGATTCAGTAAGCATATGTTAATAAAAAAAAGTTTCTGAAAATGCAGCTCATTTCACCCAAGGCATTTTCGAAGTCCTTCACAAGAAACTGCTTGTGGCCCTTGAAGTCTTAAATACAATTATGTAAACACCCATATTGTCAATTTTATTCATTTACAGAATATTCCCTTTGATACGTAATATACATATCACTCATACGATAACATAAGAGTAAAAAATACAAAAGAAATCATATAAGATAAAAATAATATGATAAGAAGTTAAATACACCAGTGTATAAAATGTAGAAAAAAAGCAATATCAATTCAGTGATTTAATACAATATTCTTAATGCTCTTAAAAAAGCACGAAGACATTAAAATAATCAGTACTTGTTTAGAAGCTATTCTATTAAAAGTGTCATTTATAAAACAGGCCACTTTCAAAAAAAATTGTAGGCTTCTAGTGGTTTTTGGAGGAACCAAGAGACCAAGGGAAAGTTTCCAAAGGATAGAGATGATAATACCAAACCACTCAAGATCATACTGAATAGCTCCACAGCAGCAAGGGACATTTTTCTAAATATCAAGGAAGCACCTCATGGGATTAAAATTAATAATTATTATATACCAATGTAGGAGACATGAGTTAAGGATATAAACAAGAAACTAACCATCAAATAT